CCGCACAGTGAGCCCCCGCGGGCCGCACAGTGAGCCCCCGCGGGCCGCACAGTGAGCCCCCGCGGGCCTGATCTAGACAATTCCTTCATAACATCTCCACAATCCTGTTTGTCCTCTCTGTCCACATCACCAGAACTCCCATAATCTTGCACCCTGACTACTGCAACCTCCCTGGGCTTGACGGCAAACTGGCCTTCTCAAGTTTATTTGAAACACTGATGTTATGATAGTCTTCCTGGCTCACACCACTTATCACATCATTGCACTAACCTAATCCCTGCACTGGCTCCTTCTTCATTCTTGTATCAAACAATACTTCTTGATTTTATCTTTGAGGCCTTCACAATTTGCCTTGCTCTAGCACTTGACACTGCCCACAGATAAGCTTCTCCCTTAAATTTTCTGCACTCTCCCAGGCTGCCCCTTATGCAAGTAACAAAACTGTGGCCATTTCAGTTATTTTTATGTTATATCCACATCCCTAATCCTTTGTCTGCTCCTGTATTTTTGTAGACTCATGCCTTCCTGGGCAAGGGCTGTCTCTTTAGCCATGTTTGTAATGCAGATGGCACAATGGGGCCAGGATTTTGATAGGAGCCTTTTGGCCTACTGGAATGCAACCTACCCTAAAAAAGTAGCAAACCCTTTTGGACAGAGAACATCTAAGTATTTGTACACCAACCAGCACAGCAGGGCCCTGATGATCCTGACTGAGGCCAAATAGATTAAGGTCAGAAGGGACTATTATGTTAATCTAATCTGATCTTCTGCATAACACAGACCATAGAGCAGTGGTGGCCAGCATGTCCCTGCAGCCCACACTGCCTCGACAGCTCCCATTGGCAGGGACAGCGAACCAAGGCCCCTGGGAGCTGCAGACGGCCGTGCCGGTGCAAGATCACGTGTTCACGGCCCGCCAGCAGATTACGCTGACGAGCCGCAGACTGCCCACCACTGCCATAGGGCCTCACCCAGTAATTGCTGCATCAAGCCTAACTTCTGTTTGAGCTATAGCATATCTTTAAAAAGAATACTGAGTCCTGATTTGAAGACCACAAGTGATGGATATTCCATGATGTAACAGATAGAGCACTGGAGTGGAATTCAGGAGATCTAGGTTTTATTCCTGGCTCTGTTGCTATTCTGTTGGGTGACCTGGGATAAATCCTGTCAAGTCTCTGGGCCTCAGGTTTCCCCATCTGTTAAATGGGGATAATGATACTGATTGCCTTCACAAAGCTCTTCGAAGACTCTGGATGGAAAGGGTTAGTTTAGAGCTGGGTATTAATACAATAGGCTACTGTTTAACCAAAAACGTTAAAGTCAAGGAAAACAAGTCAAACAAGACTGACTAGAAGAGACTTTAGTACATCACCAATGCCTGAGATCTGTCAGACAGCGGAGATGGGCTGACGCCTAAACTGATCCGTCTGGTTTCAGTGCCCTTGTCTTTCCCTTCAAGGCAAGTCCCAGCGTGATCCCCCCTCACCCCGACCCGCCCGTTGATTCCTGACCGTTACTGGCATCAGAAGCGTCACCGGTGGGCGCAGCCACCGCAGACAGCGACCTCCAGGCTCAGAAGCGCCATCCCCCGAGCTCCGCTCCTGCCCGCCCGTCCTACGCCTGCCCCCGGGAGGGGAACGGGGCCCGAGGTTTCAGCGCTCAGGCCACGGGGCCTGCGCTGCCAGGAGCTCGCGCTGCGGCGGGATGAGAGCCCGGGGGGGGTGCGGGTAATGGGGGACGGGAAAGGCAGCCGCCTGAGGCACCAGTTCAAGCCCTGCCTGGCGCCCAGCCCCCCCCTGGAGACCGCTCAGGGGGCGCCCCACCCCGGCGCTCGCAGGGCGCTTGGGCAAGGGGACCGTGCGCGGCGCTGCGGGAGTCTCCCCCCAGCAGGGCTGAGGTGGCTCGTAGGGGGGTCGAGATCCATCCGCTCTCACCGGAAGATACACCAGGACTCGAGCTGGCGCATCGCCCGCTTGTAGAGCCGCAGCACCTTCTGCTGGTGCGTGAGGTACGCCGCCATCTTGGGCTTCGGCCCCGGCCCACCGCTTCACCTTCGCCAAGGGGGCGCGCGGGCCGACGGGAAGGGGGCGGAGCCTGCGACGCCCACCTGGACGCTTCCTTCCTTCCGCCGGCCCGGAAGAGGAAGCGGCGGAGCTGCTAGAGCCATGAGCCGCTTTAAATTTATCGGTGAGGGGGCGGGCGTGGTGTCCCGGGGTCCGGCTGCGGGGAGTGTGGGCAGAGGGCTCCGGTGTGGGGGTCCCCCCCCCCGCATGGGGCCGGGGGAAGCGTCTCTCTGCCCCACCCCCGGGCCGGCCTTCTGTGTCAGCTCCGAGCTTGTCTCGTGCACGGGCAGAAGCTGGTCCACTAAAAGCTGTTTCCTCTCCCGCCGTGTCTTTGCCTGTGGGTTGTCCCGGGGGCAACGGGGGGAGGCTGGCCGGTCTGGGGAAGTTGCCTGCCACTGACCCAGCAGGGGCGGGAGATGCTGCATCTTTCCCTGTGTCGCTGCTCTGCCCTGGCCTGGCACTAGGGAGCATTGCTGGAGCTGTGTCGATACACACCGTTAAAAAGTAGGGTTATTATTTAGGCGTTTGCTTGGCTGTAGGTGGAGTCGGGTTTTACATAAGAACGGCTATATTGGGTCAGACCAAAGGTCCTTCCAGCCCAGTATCCTGTCTACCGACAGTGGCCAATGCCAGGTGCCCCAGGGGGAGTGAAACTAACAGGTAATGATCAAGTGATCTCTCTCCTGCCATCCATCACCACTGCCTGACAAACAGAGACTAGGGACACCATTCCTTACCCATCCTGGGTACAAATTTTATAAGGTAGAATGAGTCTGATGATTATTCCCAAATAGGCCAGAATTTGTCATTCTCTCAAGTCTAAGAAGGATTAGTTAAATTTCAGGATTGTTAAAGAAAACACATGCTTAAGTTAAGCTTTAAACTATCCATCTATCTCTGTGGTATCTGGTGCCCCTCAGAACCGTCATGTACACAAAAACGTATCTGTTTCTCCATGTCTTACTTTCAGCACCGACCCTGTTGATCTACATGTGAAATAGAAAGACTATAACAGTTAATTCAGCCATCATTGTTTTTCTCACTGCAGATATCGGTATTAACTTGACAGATCCTATGTTCAGAGGCATTTACAGAGGTACACGGAAACATCAAGGTAAATGTTTGTAACTTTTGACAGATTCAAGGAGTTTCTTTTATCATATTTCTTACCTGAACAGTAAATATGAAATATTCATCTTTTTTTCCTCAGCAATTGCGTATAGTATCTAAGCAACGTTATCTATATTATGAGATTCCAGGATTGTCATTCTGAAGCTTAGATTAAATCTCAGGAAAAACTTCCTACCTATAAGAACAGTAAGACAATGGAACAGCCTGTCTCAGGAGGGTGTGGAAGCTCCTTCACTGGAGGTTTTCAAAAGGAGGCTGGATAGCCATCTGTCTTGGATGGTTTAGACACAATAAATTCTGCAACTTGGCATAAGAACAGCCATACTGGATCAGACCAATGGTTCATCTTGCCCAGTATCCTGTCTTCCGACTGTGGCCAATGCCAGGTGCTTCAGAGGGAAGTAAAAGGGTTATTGGCATGGGGTTAGACTACTAGACCTTTGCAGTCCCTTCTAACCCTCTGATTCTAAGCTTAGAATGTCTGTTTTAAGGTAGTGTGAAATGATGGAAACAACTACAAGCATGGTTGAGAGCTCTTTTTGTTTAGTATATCACCAGGTTCAATCGTCACTGGAATTTTTGGTCTGTTAATGTCCAGTTTTCAAGTTCTCAGACATTTTCCACTTTTTTACACTTACTAACTTACACCCATACAACAGCAATAGGCTTTAATCTAGTTGTTATTTATTTCTATAGTGCCCAAGGTGATGTTGGCGCTTTAAAAATAAATGTTTATACCTTCTAAGTAGTGTATATATATATTTTGCAATGTAACTTCCATACAGATACTAATCTAAGTAGCTGAACATTTTGGTAAAGTCTTTCCGCAGTGGTTTTACAAGGTTATGCAGACAGATCTGACTTTACACTTCCAGCCTTTGTATTTTGTGGGCCAGATCATCAGCTGGTATACTTTGGTGTAACTCCATTGTAATCAGTGGAGCTACTCTGATTTGCACCAGCTGAGGGTCCTGTCCTATATGTTTAGACTGTAGTGTCTGTCTGGTTTAGATTGTAAGTTTTATGTGACACGGTCCATGACTTCTATTGTGTATGTACAGAGCTGTACCCACTTCTCTCTCAGTAAATATTTATTAGTAATGACAGTCAAGATTTCATTCTGTAAATCTTCAAGCTTCTTTTTCTCTTTAGTTTCCATGTGAATTTTTTTGTGATACATTGTACTTCAGGGCATTAATTTCATATTTGTCAGAGAATTCTCTCCTACACGTTCCTTTTCTTTTCCACTCTCTTCTTTCAAAAAAAAAAGGGAGATTCAAAAATCTTAGGTGTGAGGTTTTATACAATGTACTGACATGAATTCCAGATAATTATTATTATTATAATTTCAGTCCTAACATTGAGCAAATTTTCTTCTATTTTTCTTTCCTCTGGGTTTTTCTTCCCATATATTTTTGTTCACCTCCTTTTTATTGGTCCATCTTGCAGGGGAAGAGGAAGCCCCGTCCTCTCCTGCCTCCAGCCCAGCCGGGACTAGCAGTTGATCCCGGCTCAGGGTAGGAGCCACTGGCAGGGGTGTCCCCAGCCCTGCTGTGATTTACCTCTCCACCGGCTACTCCAGGTGCCTGAAATGATGTACCTGCACAGCTAGAGAGCGGTGTGTGACTGCTTTTGCAGCTTCCTTTTGTTTCCCTGTCAAAAAGTAATTTTTCTGCGGGGAAGCAAAGAAATCTGTGGGGGACATAAATTCTGCACATGAGCAGTGGCGCAAATTTTCTCCAGGCATAATTAAAGAAACCAGATAAAGTACATTGTATTATATGGTACAATTTTGATGGTTTTTTTTATATTCACACAAAATAAATCTTTCAGCAGGTCACTTCCTTAGTGCTTCTAAAAGGAAGACACTTGGAGCGTAGCATATTATTATCCTGCATATTTTAACTCCAGTGCTTTCCTACTATCTACTTTTTGTTTTGTTTTAGTTTGTGGGAACTTCAACCCTAATCCAGTCCATCTGTTCTGCTGAAGACAAGATAGCTGGCTTCACTTTGTTCTAGCTATCCAATTATTTATGTCCAAAAACTATTCATACCATATTAAGTATAATACATCGAAGTTAAACAGCAATGCATATGAAATATACACAGGTTTTTAGAGTGCATTTCTTTATGCTACAGCTTCACAAGAATCAACTTTGTCATATCAGCAGGAGTTGCATTTATGGCAGTATTTTAAATCTTTCATTGGTCTATTTTGTAAAGCTGATAATTGTTCTTATAGTACATGAGCAAATGATAGGAGCATATTCAAAATACAAATAAGTATTAGTTTGTTTAGATTCCTGAAGATAGTTTCCCTCAGTCTATTGCTGTTTGATGAGGTGGAAGGATAAAGTAGCTAAGAAGTATGGCTGTAAGAAATACACAAAGTTATAAAATAACATTGTAGTAAAAGATACAGAGTAGAGCCAGATAATTTTTTTTATAAATGGCTTTTTGACTACATGGACATTTTTTTGAGAACATTTCCATTTTCATTAAAAAATTGTAAATGAAAAAATTCTCTATTTTTTCAGTTTTGTTTGGTGGTGAAAATTCTACTTTCTTTCACTTTTTTTATTCTCTCCTCTCCATTTTCTAGTGGAAAACAGTGGGAGAAAGTTTAAAGAAAAAGTGAGTGGTTTTTTCCCCTCCACTGAAACAAAACTATTTTTTTATTGAAAAATAACATTTAAGCTTCTTTTGAAAATTTTCATGAAATATGCTGACCCTTTTTCCAACCAACTCTAAAGCAGAGTTATTTAGAGAAGCTAAAGGGAAATTAGACAATTTCCCCACTTACCAAAGAACTTGTAATTCATTTTAATTCTTCTCAATTCCTTAAATAAACAGCATTTGTTTAACTGCAGCCTTTCATTTGGATTTGGTTTCAATATTGGAGAACAAGTATTGAGTAAACATGAAGGCAGCTCAGCTCTTGAGGGAGGAACAGAAAATTGGTGGGGTTAGTTGGCCTACAGTCACCCACAGACATGTGAAGCAACACATTCTCTACCCATAGAGACAACTCAGCAGATGGGGGTCCATTCGGGCAGTGAGCTGTCAGACTGTTGGTGTGCTGAGGCACAGTGAGCCCCTATAAACTGCTACTTTCAGCAAACACATTTTTCAGACATAGAGCTCAAGACGGCGTTTATGTAACTAGGTCCTGATCCAAAGCCCATTGAAGTGTATGGAAAGCATCCCGTTAATTTAAATAGGTTTTAGATCAGGTTCTTAGTCATTTGCATCCTCCTCCTATTTGCCTTCCTAAAGATTAACTAATTGTGTGTGTCCAGAGATTATTCATACCATGTTAAGCATAATATTAACTATACATAAATGGCTTTATTGCAAAGGAATGTGCAAGTTAAATTATGTTTTAAGAACTGGACCTTAATTTACTAGATTTTTACTTTTGCAGATGACTTTTTGGATGTACTAGAGAGAGCAGTCAAAACTGGTGTTAAAAAGGTAACTTCTCTGATAGATCATGTATATGTGGTTTTGTTATGATAATTTTTAAAAATGGATTTTAACAGCCAGGGTTTTTAGGAATACTGAAGCTGTAACAAAAACAATTTTCTACTGAAATTAGCAACAATAAAAATGCCAGAAACTTTCTTTAGCATTGCAGAGTTTTCTGCAAAATCAAAATTCTTTGTATCCGGTATTAAATCTTCCTGTGCACAATGATTAGCTGGTCACAAAAATACGTGTAAGGGCATCCTTTTTTCAAAAAACTTGTGTATAGAACTTGTCATGGCCTGTTTTACAATCTAAGGCTATGCAAGCAGGGAGGGAGGGGGAAGATTTTTGGGTGTATTGTATTGCAGGAGGCCAGTATTGACTTCTGTTGTCTATATAACTCTCTCACTTTGTGATTACCTCTATCAGCCTACACCAAATATTCATGTGGCCTTGATTCTGTAAACACTTTAGTTCAACGGTTCTCAAACTGGGGTCTATGAGTCAGGTCTGGGGCCGCTGATCAATTCCTCCCCCTCCCCGTGCCTCCTGCTTGCCTCGGAATAACTTCAGCAGCATGCAGGAGGTACTGAGGGAGGAGGGGGAGGAGCGGGGACGTGGCATGTTCAGGGGAGGGGTCAGAAAGAGGCAGGAAAGAGGAGGGGTCGGGGTGGAGTGGGGGTGGGAAGTGTTGGGGCCTTGAGGGTGGGGATAGGGTCGGGGTTGAGTACCCCCAAGGAAAATTAGAAGCCGGCTTTAGTTCAATCATCTTCATATGCTTTTCACCTGTGTAAAGTTAAGCATGTCCATAGATGTCTGCAGGTTCAGGTCATTAGCTGACTCTCTGTTAGTAGATGTATTAACAGTAGATGTACTGTTAGTAGAATACTTACATGTATTTAAATGTATATCGTTATGTGCAAACTTGAAACTCTTTGACTAAAATAATTGTTTTCATAAATTGTCCAAAGGCTCCTTCCCAACTCCAGTGACCAGTGAATATTCAAGAAACAAATATCCAGTCCCACTCCTTTTTATTGGACCTTTGTAAAATTAAAGAAATTGTTATTACAAACAAAAATATGAATCAGCAGTTTCATGATATTATAAAGGTATTTTACTCTGTTAATAAAGCATACAGCTTAGTTTGTTTTAAAAAGAAAAACCCCTATCTCTTTCACAGGAACAAGTATTTTAATCTGAAAGGAGTTAAAATTTGGAGAGCAAGGGAAAAGTTCTCAAAGTAACAATGTAGAATCAGTAATACTTAGCACTTATGTAAGTGCTGTACAAACATTATCCACTCCTCACAACACTCCTGTGATGTAAACAATTAGGAATATTCCTATTTTGCGCACAGAGAAACTGATAAATGTAGATTAAGTAATTTGCCCAAGAGCACATAGCAGAGCCCAGATTAGAATTCAGGAATTTCTTACTCTCAGCCATGTGCTCAGTTATTTCCAGCTTGCATAGATTCAGAGGTCTCTTCTGTCTCTGTTTTCAGTTGTCTTAGAGTCTAAGGCTTAGACACTTAAATTGTTCTTTTGAAAATATTTCTATTTGTGTGAGTAGTTGTGCCTTATTGTGTGCTTAAGATGTATGCTGTGAACATTTATCCCTAAGCCTTGGCTGCAATGAGCTGGTTTGAGTTTAATTCACTCCTCTGATGCCCATTTAAGACTGACTATTGATTAGTTTTTTAAACTGTGGTAGTAATGACCCCACATAAACTCCCAAAGGACGGATAAGTATGTTACTTCTAGGTATTTCCCAAAAACTATTTCCTCATTTATAGGAATGAGATCTGTAGGTACATCTTAAATTGACATGCAGTGTCACAATCATTATGTTGCTGTTTTGTTGCTCTCCTGATTAGTCCTAGAGAGGCTTGTCTCTTTCACAGTAAGGGACTATTTCTCCTCATCGGAGCACAGTGACCAGTAACATTCATGGGAATTATGGACATATATCAAGTAGATAATAAACACCAGTTACATCCAGAGTATATGAGAAATTTTTAAATTGTTTAGCTATTATGAGCATTGTTGGCCCTGATTCTGAAAAAAGTTAGGCACCTACAATACATGTGTTATTATATACTCCTGGGGGAATTCTGCGCAAGTGCAGAATTAACGTCCCCCACCAATTTTACTCTTCCCCCACAGAAAAACTGATTCACGCATCCCTCCTGGGCAGCGATCAGGGTTGGAGGGGCACATCTGGTTTGGGTGTCAGGAGAAGATGGGGGAGATGTAAATCGCCACCTTGGGGGGCAGGGCTGGGTTCTCTCTGTCTCGCTCGCTATTGTGGTGCACTCATAGCTGGGGAGGGACAGGGCTGGGGATGCCCCAGCCGGTGGCTTCTACTGTGCACCAGGCTCCAGCTGCTAGTCTCGGCTGAGCTGGGGGGTGGGACTTCCTCTTCCCCTCCAGTGGCCACTCCTGAGGCCAGTGTTGGGTCAGACCCACCCCCAGGAACCTACCCTGGCTGCAGGAAGCTCCACCTTCCCCGCCCTCCCCCCGCTTCCTGCCAACATTGCTCCCTGGCTGCAGGGGAAGTGGTCACTGTATGAGGCACTACCCCCCAGTCTGACCAACACCCACCCACCCACCCACCCAGAACCTCCCCCACCCAGCCCAACCCTTCTGTATCTGGACCTCCATCCCTGCACCCAGAATCCGCCAACAAGCCCCTGTGCATCCAGATCCCCCCCTGCACCCAGACCCGCCACCAAGCCACCTGCACCCAGATTGCCCCACGCAGAACACTGACCTGGATCCCCCCCACCCCCCCTAAGTCCTTCCATACTTGGATCCTGAGCCTGCTTGCCCCACACTTGGATTGGGGGACAGGGCTGGGGGTGGGAGACTGTCCTCTGTGCTCGTTGTGGAGCCATATAGATGTACTAATATGCCTAGTATATAATCTATTTGTCAAAAAACATTTCCTGAATCTTTTTTGTAGTCTGTATTGTTACAGACATACTTGCTGACTGGTATTTTGAAATAAATTACCAAAATATTTGAAAATTTTGTGATTATATTGTGTTATTTTGACAAAATATGCAGAATTTTGCAGAATTTTAAAATGTGCAGATTTTTTAAATGTTTTGGTGCACAGTTCCCTCAGGACTAATAATTGCACACCTTAACTTGTATGTGCAATTGATGTGATTGCATATCCCAATGAAGTAATTATGTAGTCAAATGGCCAAATCTTGGCATTTGCACATATATTAACCTACTTGCACATGCTGTCACAGCTATCACCTGTTCATTTTGCACAAGTAATTTAAAATCCAATCCTGTGTTTCCAAAAACATACAATAGAAAATGTTCTATAGCAAAAGCATTACCTGGTTTGAAGAAAAACTACTAGAGCAGAACAATTGCTTTTGTTCTCCCTTGGGGGAATGAGACATGGCTTTATTGCACAGACAATAAAACACTGGATGTACATCCAACATATGAAAGGTTAAGAAGACACTTAAAACTACAGTGTTAATGTAACAAACTCTGATGCTATGGTTAGAGCATGACACTGAGGGACAGAAACTCCTGAATTTATAATCCTGGGGCTCTAATACTGATTTCCTGGATGGCTTTTTAAAAATCACATAATACTTGTACTTTGATTTCCACAACTGTAAAATGGGGATTATACTTTACAAATGAATTAATCCTCGCAGTACCAAATAAAGTGCCTTGAAGATGAAAATCAAAAAGGTCAATATTGTTATTAATAGTGGTATTGCAGTAATTTAATGGACTGGGACCGGCATTAAAGTGGGAGACTAATTTATGTACTACTGAACAAAAGCCACGATTTGGCCTATAGTACGTTCACTAATATGTCTCCTGAGAGTCTTAATGAATGCATGGTTTATCAGAATACTAATACACCTCTACCCCCCTGTGCCCTGACTGCTCCAACCCCTATCCACCCGCCCCTGCACCGCCCCCTGACAGGCACTCACTGGCAGTGGCGGGAAGCGGAGCAGCCCGGTCCACTCCGCCACCTCCCAGCCGTGGCGCTCCGCTTCCCGCGGCCGGTGAGTGCGGGGAGGTTGGGGAAAGGATGCCCCTCCGCACTCACCTGTGGCAGGAAGCGGAGCGATGCGGCCCCAGCCGTGTCACTGGAGGGCAGCTGGGGAAAGGTCCTGCACTCACCTGCCCGGCGGGAAGCGGAGCGCCACGGCTGGGAGCTGGCGGAATGGAGCTGGCTGGGACTGGGCTGCTCCGCTTCCCGCCGCCGGTGAGTACGGGGAGGTAGGGGAAAGGACGCCCCCCCATACTCGCCTGCGGTGGGAAGCGGAATGCTGCGGCTGGGAGCTGGCGGAGTGGAGTGGGCTGGGGGCGGGCTGCTCCGCTTCCACCGCTGCTGGTGAGTGCGGGGGGGATCCCTCCCCCGAGTGACACGGCTAGGGCCGGGGTGAGGGAAGTAGAGCGGGCTGCTCCCGGCCCCCCGCTAATCCCTCGGGCCACTCTGGGACTGCGGGGCCCCAAAAAGTGCCCTCCCACAGCTCCTGCCCCCAGACCCTGGGGGGGAGCCCCTGACCGCCCCCAAGACCCTCTGCCCCTTATCAAGCCCCTTGGCCCTGGCCTGGCCTGGCACCTTTAACACGGTGCTCAGAGCAGCGTGTCAGAGCTTTACAGCCTTGTATGCGAACCCGCCTTATATTGGGTTGCGTTATATCAGGGTAGAGGTGTATATTCATAATACAAATAGCTGCTTGGCTTTTCTCTGTCTAGGTTCTTCTGTGATTTCTGTCATTGGTGTCTGCGTGCCTTTTGAAGCATTTCCTGGTTGTTTGCTGTTAATTCAAAGTTGAACACACATTTACTAACTATTTTTCTTCATTTTAGTTTATGATTACAGGTGGAAATCTACAAGATAGTAAAGAGGCATTGCAGCTGGCACAGACAAACGGTATCCTTACTTTAAAATACATGATATATATTTAATCTCCGGAGCTGTAGATTTCCCTCTTCCCCATGGTAATTAACATTTCAAATGACTTATTCCTGGAACTATTGGCAGAATCCACATTATTCAGAATAAAGAAAAGAAAAAAATATATCCGGGTCAGATGGATATATTCTACATGATTTATTTCTTGTTATTACAGAGGGCTTGAGGTATTGGTGGATATCAGTCCTTCCTATCTTCTGTTTCTGTATTTCTAGATAAAACAAATGAAGGGTGTTTTTGGAGGAGGAGTACTTCTCTATCATAGAAGAATGAACAGAATAGCCAGCTCCCCTTATTATCTATTTCAGGGATTTTCAAAAGGCATTTGCCAGTCTGCAGAGGCATACATTGTAGAATATTCTTCAGTCTTATGGAATTCCAGCTAAAGTTATCAACATCATCAATGCTGTATACAGCAGTGCAAAGTGTACTGTAGGAGTGTACTACCAGACAACAGGGTGGTTCAGCATGGACAGTGGTATGAAACAGGGCTGCATTGTGTATCTGATAATGAAGCAGCATATTACCAACACAAACACTGGCATAGCATGGGTAGTTGCCAAATGCCTAGAAGACCTAGACTTCTGGTGATATCAGGCTATTGAACGACACCCCCAAAAGCTACAAATGAAGACAGACACCTTGGCAAAAACAGGAAGCCAAGCAGGGCTCAAAATCAGTTACGCCAACACAAACATCCTTGAAACCCGAATGTTTTGCTGTGGCATCCTATTGGAAGGTAAAACCATCAAAAAAGTAGAATAGAAGTTCATTTACCTGGGTAGCACCAGACTAGCCAATGGAGACCTCAGGAAAGAAATGACAACAAGGATAGGAAAGGCATCCACAGCATTCACTAAACTCAACAACGTATGGAAATCAAAGATATAGAGTGCCAAAACAAAACTGAGAATTGTCAACTCAAATGTAATCTCAGTGCTAATAGAGCTGGAGATCTACCAAACAATTAAATAGAAAACCAGGTGCTTTTGAAAATAAGTGCCTTTGAAAGATCCTAGGCCTTGGATGGAAAGATTTCATCACCAGTGAAGAGAGCCGAGAAATTACGAACCAGCAACTTGTCTCTACCAGAATCAGAAGGAAGTGCTTGATGTATTTGGGGCATATACTCTGGATGCCAACACCCAGACTTTCACATGAACCTGTCAAGTGGAAACCAACTGGTGTGAGGAAACAAGGGTGCCCAAGAAAAATCTTAAGAAGAAGCCTTAGTAGGGAGGGCAGAACAGTTGGTCTGAGCACTATAAAGCAGATGGAAGCAGCAGCTAATGTCAGAAGGGGATGGAAGAGATTCACAACTCTGGTGTGAGAAGGATGTAATAATAATACTTCTCTGGCCCCTGCCCTTCTGGAGCCAACTGAAATGCTAGTATAGTATTTACTGCTCAGGCTTGCAGTGCCACAGTGTGGAGTTTGTGCTGATTGTAGTAACATGATTACCATGTGGAATAGGGATATTTTTCTCTTTATTGCAGTGTTTGCAGGTTCCCCTTTCTCTTTCTGTTTGAAAGCAACCTCCATCTACTGTTCATCTAGATCCTTATTTAGCAGATCATTTAAGCATGTGAATGATCCCATCCCTATTCAGCAAAGCAGTTAAGCCTGTGCTTAAAATTCAATATATGTTTAAATGCTCTGTTGAATAAGGCTGGGATTATTCATGTGCTTAAGTTTTTGTTGAGTTGTGGCATTAACTTCCTTCACAAACATACCCACAAATTCTGTTAATGTAACCTATGGTGTCAAAGTGTCAAAACTTCTCGACAAGTTACCCCCTTACCTAGCTGGACTGAATCTCTCCCACCCCAACAAGGATTGCATAGGAGATTGGAGCAGGTGGGAGTAAGAAAGTCACATGTTAAATCATGAGCCTCAGAGCTGAAGGTCACCTGGTTTGCTTGAACCAGCCCAGTTTCTGCCCAGGGTTTGCCCCAAGGAAAAAATAAATTCAGTATGAGTTGCTGTTAATTTGATATAAATGTATTGTATTCCTGGAAATAAAATTCTAATACTTTTGTGTACTAGACATGTTTTACAGTACGGTTGGCTGTCATCCCACCCGCTGTGGAGAATTTGAGCAGAATGACCCTGACCAATATTTAGCTGAATTGCAAAATCTAGTTGAAAAAAATAAGGGGAAGATCAGAGCAATTGGGGAATGTGGCCTGGGTAAGTATTGTTGAGATAGCTCAAGATTATTCTCTTTTGCTGTATTCCTAAAAAAACAAGGAATTGATTGTTCCTTTTTTTCTTTTGTAGATTTTGATAGATTAGAATTTTGCCCTAAAGACACCCAACTCAAGTAAGAAAGATTTCATAACTATAGAGACTGATGTATAAATCTTGACAGCGATTTACAACATTTTTCATTTTGTATTATAGCAACTGGCATTTTGTTGGTATGTAGACCTTATCCTGTCTGTAAAATACACTTATTCTAACTTGAAGTCTGATAAGCTATTATTTTTTGACCAGCAATAATGATTTTATAGGAAAGAGACCTACATTCAAGAAAAATCAGGTACTTAGGGTGCAATTCACAATAAAATTTAGGTGGTTAAATTCCAGAGTTAGACACCTAAATCCCAGTGTACAACCTCACTGCAATCCATGAAACTCCTTCTTGGATGCCGACTAACCCTCTAGATGCCTAAACTCACTCAGCACCTAACTTTTTGCTGTAAAAGTTCAATAGTTGCTTAAATTGTAGACCCTGGGACATGTGCACTGATGCCTCCCTCTAGGCTTCCAGACACCTGTCTCTCACTAAAGCCCCAGAGCAATCTGTGAATTGGGGGACGATAAGCATTTGGTTGCATGCAGGGCCTGATGTGGTAGGCAACCTCTGAGCACACCGAACAGATTGGGTTCCATTCAGAATCTGGCTGGAGGAGGTTGTGGTGCCCACCTTACAACTTTTATCCCTGGGTTTAGAGCACTCACCTGGGATGTGGGAGCCTCAGATTCAATTTCTCCCTCTCTGCCAGAGTTGTAGAAAGGATTTGAACAGGGGTCTCTCCCACCTCTCAGGAGGGTGGTCTAACTATGGGATATTCTGATGTGGAGCTCCCTCAGTCTCTCCTGTTGAAGCTGTTCCACTGTGGATAAATAATGAAAGAGTGATTGGAGCAAGGGGATTGGCTCCCACCTAATGTGCTGGCTTTTGCGGATTGCAATGTTGTTCCTGTGATTTTTCTAGGCACCTAAAAGGCACTGTGATGCTCAGGGTTGCGATGCTAAGTTCCTTTATGGAGTGTTGTGTCCAGTTAAGGGTGTCACATTTCAGGAAAGATGTGGATAAGTTGGAGAAAGTCCAGAGAAGAGCAACAAAAATTATTAAAGGTCTAGAAATCATGACCTATGATGGAAGATTGAAAACATTGGTTTTGTTTAGTCGTAAGTTTTCAAATACATAAAAGGTTGTTACAAGGAGGAGGGAGGTAAATTGTTCTCTTTAATCTCTAAGGATAGGACAAGAAGCAATGGGCTTAAATTGCAGCAAGGGCGGTTTAGGTTGGACATTAGGAAAAACTTCCTGTCAGGATAGTTAAGCACTGGAGTAAATTTCCTAGAGAGTTTGTGGGACTCTGTCATTGGAGATTTTTAAGAGCAGGTTAGACAAATACCTTTCAGGGATGGTCTAGATCAGAGGTGGGCAAACTACAGCCCGTGGGCCACATCCAGCCCGTGGGACCCTTCTGCCCGGCCCCTGAGCTCCTGGCCCGGGAGGCTAGCCCTTGGCCCCTCCCCCACTGTTTCCCCTCCCCCACAGCTCACTGCGCCACTGGCACAATGCTCTGGGCGGCGGGGTGGCTAACTCTTGCCGGGAAGCACAGCTGCAGAGCCGCGGCCTGACCCGGTACTCTGTAATGCGCGGTGGTGTGGCTGACTCCAGCCAGGCAGCGTGCCTGTAGCACTGCCAGCCACCAGTGCTCCAGGCAGCGCGGTAAGGGAGTAGGTGGTGGGGTGGATAGACGGCAGCTGAGTTCGGGGGTGGTGGTCAGGGGGTGTGGATAGGGGTCGGGGTGGTCAGAGGGCGGGGAACGGGGGGGCTGAATAGGGGTAGGGATCCGGGGGGGGGGGCAGTTAGGAAGGAGGGGGTGGGTTGGATGGGGCGGTGGGAGGCAGTCAGGGGCAGGGGCAGTCAGGGGACAGGGAGAAGGGGTGGTTGGATGGG